GTGGAACTGCCTTAACATAATGGACAGAGGTGATCTTTGGTTATCGCTCACAGCAACAGAACTGGATAGATATAGAAATAGATATAGATATAGGTATAGGTATAGATATAGATGGGGGAATCTGCTGGTGGTGCTGCTTGCTCGGTTTTTGTGCACAGCCAGCACAGAAGGATGAGACCCTTCCTGCATGTGCATCATAGAAATCAAGGGCATGTCAGAGGAAGCAGACAGAACTCTATTTCCCCATCACCAGCTTGCCTTTTGACAACCACCACCACCATATCAACAAGCCCCTGTTAAGAGTAAAATGCAGGGGAGTTTTTGCAGACCTTAAGCTTTTTGGGGCTCGCTAACAAGGTTGTCCTAAAGCATAGTTCAATGCAATGTGAACAATCAGGAATAAGTTGCAGTGAGCCTTGGGCTCTTGCACCCTCCCTTATCCCTCTTCTTCCCAAGCAGCCTGGAGGAAGAGTTGAGAAAGTATTGCTTACCTGCACCTTGTAGTGCCATCTGGATCAACAAACTGAAGTTAACATTAACTAGTGGTCTGTGACAAAACAAGCCAACTTCAAATCATAGTTACCAAAGTTGGCATTTTAACTACAGTTAAGATTGACCATTGTTCCAGATCCAAAATGGCATGATAAACTGTGGTTTATCAAAAGCGGAACAGAAATTCCTCCTCCCAGCTATGTAGAGGAGGGGAGGGCGAGCGGTATTACAAAAGAACATAAGAAGAGCCTTAATACTAATCTATTCTTATTTACATTACAATACTGATTTCCCAGCATATGCATTGTGTATCATTAATCTATTCATTAGTCACTTTCTAAACAAAAGTGTCTTACAGAAACAAACATTAAAAACAAAGGAAAAGAAACCTAAAATTCTCACCGATAACGTGTATAAAAGGGCAGATTGAACTCCCTCTACCACACTAAAAAGATGAGCAGAAAATTAAGGTCCAAGAGCCTGGATGAATATAAATGGCATTTCCTGGTTCAGATAGTGGTGTTAGTTGTGCCTCCTTGGGGAGAGAAACCCCACAAACAGGGAGCCACCACTGAAAAGGCCTGCTGTCATGTTGCCACCATCTGTACTTCCTTCAGAGGGGGCACAAAGAGAAGTGTCTTAAAAGCCAAAAACAGGGCCTGGGTTGGTTTACGTGGTGTCCTTGAGGTATCAGAGTCCTGGGTGCATAAGGCTTTATAGGTCAAAGCCAGCACTTTGAATTGATAGCCAACTGGTGCCAGGATTGGTGTTGTATCTGGTCTCTGAACTACCAGCTGTAGCTTCTATATTCAACTATATTCAAAGGCAGCATATACCAACATCTCTCTCGCACACACCATGCAAAATAATTTGTTCCAGCCATCTCCCATGCTCAATAGGTCACATAAATAATCTTGGAAGCTAAATTTCTTTGGAACATCTATATTAAAATGAAATCATACTTTACAAATAAAGGAACATCTTGCTACAATAGTTTTATCTCCACTACAAAATTGAGTTTCATGTTGATTTTATACAGATACGCAGAAAAAGCAATTTGGATGAAAGGGTGCTGTAATCTCTCAATCTCAGGACCCAGAAATATTTTTACAGTAGATTAAAAACATACAAAACCAATGGTATCTTGAAATCGGTTGGTATTGTAATGCATGTCCAATGTTGTGCTGAAATCACTGTACTGCTTTAATTTCACTAAACATTATATGTATATAATCAACCCTAAGTAGCTCCCTTGTCAGGTCTGAGTGCCATCATCTGCTTTTACTCTCAAGTATCTCAAGAATCACTTGAACATTTGAGTCCTGTCAATAGTCTTACACTGAACAGATTCTTTGGGGAGCATAATATTGTACCAAAAGTTGGTGCTACAACAACAATAGGAAAAATGGCATAAAGGATGTGGAAACATTAAAACATGAGTGAAATATCACATCTTGAACTTTTTAACACAAAGCACACTAGTAACAGCTTTCACGTGCAGCTGGGTTATTCACAAGAATGAGCTGCTGTCAGCAGCACTAAAGATTTTTTTTCCACAAACAGGTATCATCTTCACATTGTCAAATTAAACAGTCTTACAGAGACACAGTCTAACAGAGACACATTTTGAAACAGGGATATTCACTGCATTATATCAGGCTGTGATATTCTGGAATACCCAGTTTCACAAATTAGGAAGCAAATGTAACTCATATGATAACGTCTGTGCTGCTAGACCCAATGGAAGGTGCTTGTTGACTTTCAAAGCCCTGATCAACTTAAGTCCCAAATATTTGAAGGGATGCTTCTCTCCATATGTGCCAGCCTAGGCCTTGTGATGTAAAGGGGAGGAGATTCTTGTGGTTTCATCAATAGGCATGGCTTACAGCATAACTCTTCAGGAAGGTTTGTTGCAGAAGGGCAGGCTGGATAAGGGAACTTTAAAAACACCTGCCACTGATTTGTACTGTTTGGGGGTTTTATGCTGTGGTTTTAATTTACTTTTAAGATATTTCTGATGCACTTTTAGTGGAGTAGGAGAGCTGGAAAAAAATTCACATCTAGCAACCAATGTGAACCTTTGGTTTCAGATACGAGTCTAAAGAGCCTGGGACACAAATTTTCACGGCCCTCTAGTGGCAATGGTGGCTAGAAGTAATGTATTTAGTGGAACTCTGAAAGTGTATACTCGATTCTGACCAAACTATGCCTCCTAGAGTACAATATGCATAAGGATTGTTTTTACTTTGCATTTATTTACAAATGCATTTGTATACAGCTCTCTCAAACTATCAGGGTGGTGCACGGCAGTAATAAAATAAAATGAAATACACCAACAAAAATTTAAAGCAGTTCAGATCATTAAAATGACAGTCTACTCAAGAAAAGTGTGTTTATTAAATAATTTTAATTAATTTATTAAATTACTAAAAATAAGATTCAGAACTTTGTTCTGTGACCCGTCCTAAGGACTCCAGGTATAGGGTGGTATATAAATTCAATATACAATAATAATAACAACTATTTAATAAACCTATTTAAAGGTGTACTTCATATACTTCAAACCACTTCAAGTAGCAGAACATGTATTTTATTCATATACAGACAACTTCAGTCCAAATAATAGGAAGTGTATGAGTCTAGCATTAACTTAAGTTTCATATTAAGTACTCAGGTGCAACCCATGTTAACACTAACTATGGTTGCATATCCACTGGCCAATGCTGGGAACAGGTTCGAAAAGCTGGCTCCCAATCTGTGCCGGCTATTGTTTGCAAGGAACTACTACATCTAAACCAGGTCTTTGGACCAGGGAATACTATTTCTCTTGGATGAAACTTGTAAATAAACACTCATACCAAGAGGTAACCTGTGTTTTAAAACACAAATTGTCACTACGCATATACGTAAACCCCCTAACTTGCTGCCTATCTATCCCTTCTGAACAAATTATAGCCCAAGATTCTGTAATTGCTACAGATTGGTCTTTGGCACAGGAGAACAAGCAAAATTAAAGAGCTGAAAAGTGAATGAAGCATATTAAAAAAGCTTAGATGAGGCTCCATCAAGATTATGCAAAACTAAGAAATCTTAATCCAACATAAAAAGGGCAAGCAAGAATGCCAGATGTCTACTTTCTCTTCTGATAAACTAGCAAGAGGGAAAGTTTCTGAAATTAATGTTTTAGGCTGTTGTCGTCTGTTGACATTATATTTGCTAATCCCTAAGTGAAACACAAAGTTAAGTGAGTGGTTATTTAGGAAAAACAAAAATGAAAGGAACTGACAATTTGTTTAAAGTTTTGGGGGTTTTCTAAGACAAAAAGTGCAAATAGACTGCAGGGCCAGAGTCTACTTGTTTAGACACCAACAGGGCAAGCAGCATAGGGGTGATGGCAGATTAAGTATTTAGGGGAGGTTGATGAAAAGTTTGATGTATAAGGACTTTTTCTCTTACCCTGTACACACGTTTTTGTGCCCTCACATCTCTAATTCCCTCCCTTTATTTTATTGTTTTAACCTTTTCGATAAAGCTGTTGGTGATTCAGAACCAAAATTCACCCAATCAGATCAGGTAGTACACTCAAAATTATCACTGAAACAATAATTCAGGCAAAGCTGTGAATACCATTCAGTATTTTCTTTCACTTTTTTAATTTAAGCAATTATTAATAAGTCACCTTGTGATTTACTAAAAGGACCTTTGAGTTCTTTACCTTTACATTTGAAAAGCTTAGCCTCATCTTTGCAAAAAGATTAACTTCTCTCTTTTCCTCTCACTAATGTAAACTGGTCAACTAATATGGAGTTTGGGAGGGGCGGGGGGAGAAATGCAACTGTGTTAGAGGAAAATAATCACAATCTGGGAAGGCTCTGAGGCTGCCCTTTTGACTTATCAATTTCAGTAAGCAAAATTTCAATCAAGCCTAGATAAAATATACTAATCCTAAATAGACCAAGTTTGTCACCTACCACTTTCTATAAGCTGCTTACCATAGTGGGAGGGAAAAAAATGCTAAATTAAATGCCAAACAGTAGCAGACAGCACTTGTTTGGCTGATTAACTGGTAGACAAGCATTACAAATAAATCTGAGCATGGTCTGCAGCAAATTAAATTCCAGTGCTTTAAAGAACAAAGAATTTGTTGGGAAAGAGGATTAGCAACTTTACACCCAGGAATGCAGGTTTAATTTAATTGTTCCACAATCCGAGATTTAATATGCAAATATCATTTGGATATTTAATAGTGAATTTGACAAAGTAAGGAAACAATTCCGATATACAGCCAGGCCGCCTCGCTTCTAACTGTAATTATACACAATGGGGGGAAAGGAAGCCTAGTGTTCCCCTGACTCCTCCACCCCCCCCAATCTTTCATTACTAGGATTGGGGGGTTCTATTAACATTAATCAGAACAAGACTAATTAAAGGTTAAAAACTTTAAATATATAATTCTAATTAAAACTCTAAATAGTTGTATGATTAGAGTACTGTCGTTATAGCCTCACCTCAATGATCTTCTTGGCTTCTTTATATTTGCCAGTATTCAGGAAGGCAAAGAAGAGATCATAGAGCATCATCATTTCACCTCTCTCTTGGCTTATGAAATCCATTGCTATAGGAACATTCATAAAAAGCAGATTAGGTTACCTGTTTAGAGTCAAAAGGAACATGTCACAAGGCAAATGGCTGAGTCATTGGACACCCATGCCATAGCATCACGTGATCACTTATAGCTAGATGATCTAATGACATGTTCACCTCTCCATACATGCACCTGAATACCACTTTCTAGATCAGTGTTTCCCAACCTTTTTTGGGCAAAGGCACACTTGTTTCATGAAAAAAATCTCGAGGCACACCACCATGCCAGATGGGGAAAGGTCACTTTTTACTTATGTAAAAAAAAATAAAAAAATAGTAACAGCATAGAAGGTAATGGTTATCTCTTTGATGTCTGATGGGAGGGCATTCCACAGGGCGGGCGCCACTACCGAGAAGGCCCTCTGCCTGGTTCCCTGTAACCTCACTTTTCACAGTGAGGGAATTGCCAGAAGGCCCTTGGCACTGGATCTCAGTGTCTGGGCTGAACGATGGTGGCGGAGACGCTACTTCAGGTATACTGGACCGAAACCGCTTAGGGCTTTAAAGGTCAGCACCAACACTTTGAATTGTGCTCGGAAAGGTACTGGGAGCCAATGTAGGTCTTTCAAGACTGTCGTTACGTGGTCTCGGCGGCAGGTAGCAGCGCTCACAGCTTACGGACTGCACCGTGTAACAGGTGTCTGGCCCAGCAGCCTAAGGCGGACAAGCCACTGAAACAGGCATTCAGAATCCATTCATTTCATAAAACCTGCAGGGCTCAATCTCTGTGTTTGTGTATGTGTGTGTTTCTGTTTTGCCCAATGGTCTGGGGGTGGGAGAGAGCTCTTTAGCATGATGCTTTTAAAACAATTAAATTATCAACAAACAAACCTGATGATACGAATAGCAACGTCAGGTGCTACCGGGGGGGGGGGGGAGAAGGGGGCCTACTCGGAAGTAAATACTGCGTCCAGGCGCAATTAGCGCTGATTTAAGGTGCACCAAGACTGCCTAAAAACCTCACCAAAGATATGCAACAAAGCGCTTCGTTGCAGAGGGGAGAGTTTGTGCACCGTGGAGGCTGGAGGGCTTCTATTCTACATGCGGGGGTTGGGGGGGCGAGGAAAATGTGCTCCGTGGGGGGGCGGGGAAGGCAAGAAAAGGAGCTGAGCTCTAACTATAGGCTCCCACGCTTGAGCAGGCCCGACTCGGTGGGGCGGACCACCCTCTCTCCTGGAGGAGGAGGAGGAAGAGGAGGAGGAGATTCCCATCCACGGCGTGGCCTCCCGCGCTCCTGAACGGGAAATCTCTGCAGCCCAAGACTCTCCGCGAGGCAGATCCTCCCTTCCTGCCTTGAGCCGCCGCCAGCCGCGCCCCCCTCCCCAGTTATCTGCTGCCTGCCAAGCCCCGCCCCTCTTCATTGTCCTCCCCTTCTGTTTATTCCCCTTCCTCCATCCCTCGCTTTTTTCCCTCTCTTTCCTTTTTTTAAAAAAATATTTTCTCTTCCCCTTCTTTTTTTCCACCCTTTCTTTTTTCTCTTTCTCCCCCCCCTCCCCGCCCTCCTGGGTTAAAGGATTTGAGCAATGGGTCTGGAGGTGGAGCTCGTCGGAGGATTAGCCCGACTCGCCTGCCTCCCTCCCACGGCACAGTAGGCAACGTCCGGCGGCACACTAGTGTGCCGCGGAACACCGGTTGGGAAACACTGTTCTAGATGAGTTTGATTTTTACCATATCAGAAAGACTGGTCTTTTTCTGAGGAAGATTTATAGGGGGAAATTCATGAATTGTCGAGCTAAATATTCTTCAAAGACAGAACTGAACAGAGTTTGATCATCGTCACTCATTCTTTCTAATTTAAATCATACTGAGGAGACCTATTGGAATCAATGGATTTTAATTTATTTTGTGAGGTCCTTGAGATATTATTGGTATCTCTGGTGCCCCCGAAAACTTTTAAATAATTCTTCTTGATCACAGGACATGGTTTGAACATGTGATTCCAAACATTACTGCTGTGACCCTCAGTAATAAATGGCTAAAACTGGTTGGGTTAAGGTGTCCCCCTACCATAATGCAGGGCAAGAACAGAAGAAAATCCCAATTCATAATAGCAGCAACCAACCTTTCTGCAACAGTTCGGTGTTTCCTTTTTGTATTAATCTGCTCAGGACATCGTGAAGTCTAGGAAAGCTGCCATACTTCCTATAGCAGTCAAACACAGCTTCCATGGCTGCTTCTATGTCATCCCTTAAAAGAAAATCCACAGCATGTTAATAATAATAATAATAATAATAATAATAATAATAATATCCCGCCCTCCCCAGCCAAAGCTGGACTCAGAGCAGCTAACAACAGTAAAAATAGCACAGTTTACATAAAATCACAATTAACTGAAATACATTCTAAAATCAATTCAGAATCAAATTAATGGCAACCATTGGGCTAGAGTTCTATGAGGATTACAGAAGGAGGGGGTCAGACTGTGCCTTGGCCAAAGGCCTGGTGGAACAGCTCCGTCTTGCAGGCTCTGCGGAAAGATGTCAAATCCCGCAGGGATTTTAGATGGAAGAAAAACAACAACGTATACACCGAACCTCAGAAACAGTCACCTATCGCACTCCAGTCCAGTCCAAAAAAGGATCGAGGAATAAAATGCATCCAATTCATTTCCTAACACTTCACCAGGAACCTCAAAAAGAGACTTATTTTGACTTCTGTACAATACACAAATTATTATAATCTAATTTTTTTCATTAACTGACAGATCAAAAGAATGGTCACATATGAGTTCTCATATCTAGATGGCCCTACTTTATTATACGGGAAGTTCTTTGAATCAAATATGAAGTAAGATCTAATCTGAATGGTAACGGGGTCCACAGAAGCTGGGTTCATTTTTTTTATGAACTCTGCTAACATTGAGTGTGAGCCCCTCTCATTCAACAACAACAACACTGGTCTAGCCTATGTGTTTAAGAAAGCTGTTTATAAAACATTTTGATTATATACTATGCACAGTGAGTTTTGACGATACTGAAAATTAAAAAGCATATTAGAAGCACAATTCAGTTTCTTCAGAAAAAGCTTATTTTAGCATTTATATTGTGTTATGCCATCACATAACCAATACAACAAATTATGTGATTTTTTTAAAAAAAAGAAAAGTCCATTCCACAACTATTTTCAGAAGGTATTCTAATTCTGAAAAATATTATGAAATTAAATACAAATTTAGAAGCGATTTTACTGCATTCCATACGGAACTGTAAAAAAATGAGCGGAGCTTGATGGATCGCTACCTTAACCCCTTTACTGAGCCCTGTTTACAGCGCATCTTCTGGCACCCCACAGAGTCATTTGAATTATTGTCATTTGGGGTGAAGACTAAATTACAGGTTAATTTCAAAACTGCAAGTGGATGATGCCGGCTAGATTACTGTCATACAAAAGAAATACTATGGTAGCTACCACAGATGGGTATAAAGCTTTATATAATCAGTGTTTTCTTCTGCTCTGGTTGCAAGTTCAGTTAACACCCATAGAAACAGCTTGAGAACTCCCAATAATTCCACCTAGGGTGCAATCAAATTTATACATTCAAGTTCTCAATGTTTATGCTCAGCTTCTGACAGTGACTCTGAAAAGAGCAATGGTACTGTTTCAGCTGCATTCCCACAGCCCTAAATTGACTGTTTAGGTCAAAGCTATCAATAAATGAATGAATAAATTAGAATGCCAATCAAACAGACACATTAATAGTGTTCATGCTCCAGATATATATTTCTGAAGGTATTTAGCCTGTTTGCGTAAAATAATGAGTCCTGGAAATGAACAGGGGTTAACGTACAAGTAGCCATGAATGTATGTCTAAGCATTTGTAAATGTTTTGCCAATCATAAACTCAATGTTTCACCAAGCGTTATGCGAATGCTACAATACAGTGGTACCTCGGGTTAAGTACTTAATTCATTCTGGAGGTCTGTTCTTAACCTGAAACTGTTCTTAACCTGAAGCACCACTTTAGCTAATGGGGCCTCCTGCTGCCGCCGCGCGATTTCTGTTCTCATCCTGAAGCAAAGTTCTTAACCCGAGGTACTATTTCTGGGTTAGCGGAGTCTGTAATCTGAAGCGTATGTAGCCTGAAGTGTCTGTAACCCGAGGTACCACTGTACTACCACGGCTTCTGATGTCTGGTTTCAAGAGACTGCAAAAAGCTAGTTCCATATCATCCAAGTATAAGAAGCCAATTATTTTTACATAATGCAAAGTAAATTCAAGGGTGTGGATCAAAGCTACCATGTGTGCTTGTGAGGCGTTGATGCCACCCTTCTGACTACAACCGCTCCTGATGAGGGGACCCACCAAAAGGACCTCATGCAATACCAGGGGCTTCAACCAGGACTGTGGGAAAACTGACAGAATTGGCGGTGCCCCTGTGGACAAGCAAAACTGCATGGGCCAATCACATTTGTTTGCAGCATACCTATAGAATGCAGCTATTACACATAAATTAGACAGGATCTTACATGTCAGGCAATCTACCAAGAGGTTCCCTTGTTCAAAGCTCCACCCAAATGTGTGATATGCAGGAGATTCCTTCCAGAAGGCTTGCAAAGGAACACTTCCCACTAGACTACCTTTTGCCTATCAAATGAAGATAGCTAAGCTAACGTTTGAAGCACAGAAACAGTGGTACCTCGGTTTTTGAACATCTCTGTTGATGAACGTTTCGGTTTTTGAACGTGTAAACTTGGAAGTAAATGCTTTGGTTTCCGAACAAGCCTTGGAAGTCGAACATGCCACACGGCTTCAGTATTGAGTTTTTGAATGTTTCAGAACTCGAATGGTGTTCCAGAATGGATTACGTTCAAAAACCGAGGTATCACTGTATATCTGATCTAAAAAGCTATCTTTAAGGTTCTATTTGATGTGAACTATTATCAGATTACATTTACTTTAAAGACATAGAATTAGAGCAAGCAGCCAATAAATTCAAAAACAAAACTGAGCAGTTCACTAGACAATTGAGCTATTTCATCTATACTCATCTTGCTGTTCAATGTGGGCTTTAGAACACATGGCACTTTGCTGTTCTATGTAAATGGAATAGTGAAATCGTATTAAAAAGGAAATACTATCCCATTCCATTCTAACTTGCATGTCAGCTGCAATCACGTGTATTAGTCTCAACACTCACATGATGTCATGACAGTCTTGACACAGCAAAACACAACCTAATTTGGATTTCTGTGACGTAGAAGGAATTTTATCCAGAAGTGCCTGTGGACACAGTGGTCTTTCCCAACATGCACTGCCTTTAACGTAGATAGAGCTGAAGGAGGAAGTTGGAAGAGTGACCGTCTTTCCCATTTCCTCTTTCCCTTTATGAACTTTTCAAGGATCAGGTTAATTCTACTGGATCCTAATTTTACCCGGATCCCTTGACAAAGCAAAGTATGTAACATGTGCTTATTTCCTTCCATCTTGGAGTGGGGTGGGGGAAGAGGGCGAGAAGTAACCAGAGTGGTAGTACCTAAGGCACTCACTCAAAAATCAAAATGTGTCCACAGGCTTAGATAGGTTGATAAACCCTGGTCCAATCCTATGCAGGCATACACAGGAATAAATCTCATACTGCTAAATGGGCCTTATGCCCAGGTATGTGAGCTTAGGATAGCAGACCAAAACATTTTGCTTCAAATAAGAGTAAGGCACAAGGGAACTATTCCAATCTTGCAAGGAGCCAATATGTGATTGCTCGCAAAACTAGCTGAGATCTCAAACTGATTGAACAATAAATTATGTGTGGCCCTGAAGGGCAAGAAAAGGTAAAAAAATACAACAAATCTTCTTGCTTAAAGGGTGCCACTTTCTCAACCTTACCTTCTTTACTTGCTATAAACAACTTTTCCAAACCTAGAAGCCTGCTTGATAAAAAAAATACTCTAAATATTGATTTTAATTGGAATGAAGTGCTTCAGTGTTCTGCATAAAGTGTTAGTGAAGTGGCAATTTACCTAAGGGGTTTACTGATTGAAAAGCTCTCAAACCTGAAATCGCTAGAGAGGAAGAAATAAAAAAGGGGAGGGAGAAAGAGGGGAAAAAGGGACTCTGGGAAAGAAAACCACAGAGAATGCCTCAAAAACAAATCCCTCTGCAAATCTGAAGCATATGTTAGTGTGGAAGGAAATCAATTCAGTAAGGTACAATCAGCTTAAAAAAATATTCTGTTAAGAGAACGGGGCTCTTGAAAGAGCTAAATGCCCCCCCCTTCCGTTCATCAGCTATAACGAGGAATTTTCAAGGAGACTGGTGTTGCAATTACAACTAATCCTCCCAAAAAAATTAACTGTGTTGAAGGCTTTGTAATTTCCCTAGGTACAATTTAGCTGTCACTTACTTTAAAATTTACTCAAACATGCGTTCCGAACAGCACTAACTTCACATGTCAAGTGCTTTCCAGCCAATTGAGTCTAAACTGGAAGTCGGTGTTAAACAACTGAATGATTAGACAAGATAGCTCATTTCCCTGCTCTTTTGTTCAGAATAAAATGCCACATTTACATTATCAGGCTCAACAGGATTTTCTGACAGAGGGAGAGAGAGAGGGGGGAAAAAACTCTGGTGAACACTGTCCGTACTAAACACATGAAGCCTGTCATTTACCAATCATCCTTCAAAAAGCAATAGCAATGAATGTAACTTAATTACGACCCAATGATCCTTGACAAAAAAAATCATCTTATCACTGTCCTGTTCTCCTAGGGCAAATGAACCATTTCTGTCCTTTGGCACTGATGATGCAAAATTTCTAATTGCAATAATGGAGTAAGAGAGACAAACCTTTGCTTCACTCAAAAAAAAAAAGTGTGTTTTAAAGAGGAAGAAAACAATCTAGAAATGATGTGGACTTTTGAAATAAAGATGCAAAAAAGCTGCTGGGGGAGGGCGTTCAGAAAAAGCAGCGATTTTTAACAGACTGATGGGAGAAATCAACAAATTAATAAAACAACTTGCCATAATTTTTAATGAATAGCTATATTTAAACTTAGACAAGGGCTACAGAGACACAACACGTCTCAGAAAGGGGACTGCTAAAATTTTGCGTCCATGGATTGCAGTGTATATGAATCCATAAGTCTCTTCAATGGACAGCAGGAATTGTGATTTAATCAGTAACCCATTGAGAACTTAAATTCCATTTCTAAGTCAAACTTCACCTGGTTAAATCAGTTGTTTTCACTTGT